CCCGCCCGCCCGCCGTTAGCAGAGCCGCGGGCCTCGGGAGCGCCCCGAAACACGCTTTTAAAGTGCTTTAAAACCGAACGAAACCTGCAACTGCAGCCAAACCCCAGACAAACCGCGAAGGCTGGGGCTGAGGTCAGCGTTAGCGTTTTCAGCCCCTTTCAGGCAGAAACACAAAGCAAACTTCAGGCAATAAGTGCACTCCGGCAGGTCAGTGGACGGGCAGCCGGGAGGGCAGCTCCTGCCTAGAGAAAACCCGATATTTGACAGGCCAGGGATTTGTTCCCTGCAGCAGCCAGGTTTGGTGGTTGGTCTACAGACAGCACTCGTCAACCTAGCCTTGCCAGCGCAAATCTCGTGTTTTCTAGCATGGAACTCTACTCACCTACGGGAATGGGAGGCCCCTCCAAAATGGCATCCCTCCCGGAGACCAGCGTTGCTGTGGGCAACCCTTCCCCTGCAGCCCAGGTCGCTTACCTGTGGGCACTCGCTGGGGCGCATCGCCTCGGGGGGTGAGTGGGGGTCTGCTGTGCCTGTCGGTCTCAGGGCTGGGCTGCTGTGTGACTGGGGACTCTGCGGGAGAGACTGCTCATCAGGCCATTTCCCTCATGTCCTATCTGCAGTACAAGCCAGGTAAGAGCAAGACATGCCAAGGGCAGGAGCCAGGCTTCCATCCTGCACAGCCCTGGTCCCAGAGAGACACAGGGGATATTTTCCTGACCCCTGCCGTGATCAGGCACACTGAAGCAGGGAGGATGCCAGTCCCTGTGGTTTCCTCTCTGGGTGGCGATCAAGACACAATTCATATTCAGCGTTACGTGTCTGATCCCGCTATGAAAGAGAAAACTCCCTGCCTCAGTCTTGTGCAGCGGAGATGAGGAGCTCTAGGCTGGGGACTCACCTCTCACTGTCAGCTCAACGGTGTCGCTCTGCTGCACAGCCCTGGCCCTGACGTTGTTTTCTGCCTCACAGTAGTACTTCCCGGTGTCGGAGGGCCGCAGGCTGTCCCACGCCAGCTCGGCCTGGCTGCTCAGGAGCAGGGCTTTCCCCCCGGGGCCGCTCCTGAACCAGCGGTAGCTGATGGGGGGGGACCCGCTGGCCACACAGGTCAGGCTGGTCCTGGCTCCTGCCGGGACTGTCAGCCCCAGCTCGCCGGCCCTGATGACGGGCTTGGTCACTGCAACTGGAAGACAAAGCAGTTGGGGCCCAGGTCACGCTGGCCCTGGTTGCAGCGGGGAAGGTTCCTCCCCCCACTCCACAGCAGTTCACGCTCTGGCTTTCAGTGCTTTCCCAGGAAGAAGAGGGCCACCACTCTCATGTCACCTCTCTTGCACAAGTTAGGTTCACCTGTGCCTAAAGCCAAGTTTACACCAGCTACGCCACCATTGCTACTGCCATATCACACAAGTCCTGCTCTGTTGAGTGGGTGCCCCCCGTGCAGAAAGACACTTCTTTCTAGCACACACTGAGGATGCTTGGGAAGGGGAGAAAGCAGATTTGGCTAGTACAACACCCACTTGCTGTGCCACTTGCTACAAGAACCACAGAGATGCTGGCTACCTGCACAAAACCAAAATGAAATCTGGATGTTCTCTCAAGCACCATGGGTTCAAGTGGCCCATCGACAGATCCAGATTGGGGGGTATACTAACTGATCCCACTTCCCCAGTCCATCCCTACACCTCCACGAGTGGAGAAGAAGGGCTAACATAGCAAGGGAAGAGGATGCCTCAACACCAAGCCTGGATGTGGGTAGACAGTATGGTGAAGACTATTCCCACCAGCTGCTGCTTCTCCTACATGCTCTGTGGATTAGACTGGCTACACAAGAGCAGGGCTTTATTGCTGGATTTACCTTTGACAACTTTAACCATAGTGGTCACCTCCTTTGTTATCAAGCTGTTATTTTTAGACCTCCAGATGACTTGACAGGTGTAGTGTCCGCTGTCAGGGATTTCAAGGTTCTCGATTAGGAGTGAGGCGTTCCCTGGGCTATGCTTTGGGACGCTGACCCGGTCTCGGAACCGAGACAACAAGACATGGTCACCAGAATCATCCCTCCGAAAGATGGTAGAGGTGCTATAGTCTCGCTCCATGCTCCAGATGAGCGTTTGCTGTGTGAAACCTTCTGAGGGCATGTAGGTACACGGTAAAGTGGTGCATCCCATCCATGTGCCCTTTACCTGGTGAACACCAGACAGATCCAGGAGGGCTGCAGGGAAAAACAGTTGAAGGGAAGAAATAAGAACGCAGCAGAAGAGGAGAATGTCCTTAGGATAGACGGGAATCACTAGGCGGTGGAAGTCAGCATGCGGCCACATCTTAGACGTGCTGCAGACCACAGCCAGCTAAACCAGGGCCTGTCCCCACCTCACTGAGCATAGGGAAGTGAACATTTGCTTTGACCTCATGGCTATTTTTATTGTTTCTCCCTGGACACTTTCCAGTTCTCAATTCCTTCTCGGTACAGAGAGGCACAAATCCTGCTCCTAGTGGCAGCATCACAGCTACAGTCTTCACAAGACCTTAAGGAGCATCTCTTATTCCTGCTCTCTAGTGCCAGCCTTTACACCCTACTTCGGCTACTTGGCTTTCTGCTTACACTTGCACATGATGAGTCAAACAGCAACGGCCTTCCCCACTGACACGGGATGCTCTGACACCACCACTTGCAGTGTTGACTTCTACCTTCTATATGGGAGGAAGGATAAACAAAGCAAGTTTACTGCTTCACTGCAATTAACAATGAATGCAACATGTTTGCATTCATTAATGTCACTATTTTTTAATGCAACTTCCCTGGTACTCACAGGACCCAGCAGTATAGCTGTGTGGGGAGAAGCACTTCTCTGTGCAACAGCCTGTCCCAGAGCTAACAGGAGGTGCCCGTTGGTGGAAGGCAAATATCTGTGGATCTGTGTCCACGGGGACAGCTGAGGGGACTGCTGGGGCTGAGCATAGTGGAAGCTTGTTTCTGACATGCAGCTTTTGTTTTCCTTTACCAGATGACTTTGAGAGGGCAGGCACAGCTCCATTCTTCAAATCTCACATCCCAGTCAAACGCAACTGCTTGATGTATCAGTTTTTAAAGGTTTTCCATTTATCTTCTTCCTCTTTTCACAGACTCCCACCAAGAAAAACTAAGAAGGGTGGAAGCTATTTAGAAAACTGCTCAGAAATACCCTCAAGGCATTTGGTACACTCAAGTTCAAGTATGTTTTCTATCCAGCGTATTAATTTGGACACAATTTTATTTAAACACTTCTCCCATATTGTTTTGCATTGCTGTGTGCCATGAAATAGCTGCCAGCATCCACCGATTGCCTGCAGAGCGGCTACACCCTGTATAAGACCAATTTCAACATTAGCAGGGATGACTCCAAAGGAGAGCTGATTGGAAGGAATGGGAGAAACTCAGCAAAATAAAAATCCCTGAGACAGCATTTTCAAAAGAAGTGTTTCCTCCCAGTGACACTTCTTAAATGGGGATGTAGTCTTCCAGACAAACAATGTGAATTCTCCCACCAGAGGGAAATAGAGCTGGACCAGGCGAAAACCTTAAGGGCTATGTTAGAGATTAGAAGACTGATCAGAGGGATTTGTATTATCTATAATGCATGATAATGGAAAAAAAAATTGAACTTTTACATTTCTGGCCCATTTTCTAAAATGGTTGAGCATCTTCCTTCCTAGCCTGCCAGCACCAGCTGTCCTGGTGGCATGGAAGCACCATGCAGGCAGGAGCCTTTAGGGATCTGTTTTGAAGTATTGGACCTGGAACAGGAGCGGTGGACCAAACCCAATCTTTTTGCTTTAGCCTTAGAGAACTTCAGATCTGACCTAGATTGCTTGGATCATACCTGCTTTAACCAGATAAGCACCCTGCTGAGCTCTCAAGTGGACACAGAAGAGGGGGTGGATTTTGTGGTACCCGGCTCATTCTCCCAGTCTCTCCAGCTGTCTGCCCACTGAGATCACAGCTCCTCTGGGAAGTGCCTCTTGTAAGTAGCAAATTACCTGAATTTAGCTGTACTTGGCTCACCTCTACCCATACCCCCTTATGCCGCTCCCTCTTTCCCCTCCTCCCCAGAAAGGCACTGGTTATGTTCAGCTGCATTAACTCACAATAAGTCGCTTGAGAGGCAGACCCCAGAAATCTCCAAAGCTGTTTTATGATGTAATGGGGAACATACTTCAACCCATTTTTCTAAATGTCAGGAGCAATTCTGTGCTTCTGTACACAACTTGTTAAAGCACCTTTCTCCTGTCTCCCCAAACCTTCCTCTGCTGGTGTCAGTGTCATAATGTGCCCTGGGAGTGGCACATATGCCTCATGGGCACATGAATCGAAGCAAAGATTCCAGTATTACCTCTCCTAATGCACGTAGAGAGTCAACAGATCAGGAGAGACCAAGGGGAATCGTGTGTGCCCGCACCTAGTCTCAAAATTACAGCTCCTCTTCTTCCCAGGATCATGCTAGCCAAACAATGGTGATACATTATTAAATTCTAGAATAATACATATTCCAGCCTCACAAAGACTCTTTTGGAAGCTAACACACCAGAGCAGGTCCTCTCCAAGGGTCCTGAACAATCCTGTTTTGTTCTTGCTTTGGGGATGGGAGCTGACCTTTTGCCCAATACTGCCCCATTTGCTCCACTCTTAAAAGCACCTTGTTGTATCTGATACCAAAGGAGACTCTTGTGAATTCTCAGGCTCTATTTTTCATACAACAAACTAAAGACTTTCCACATTTGACAATTTTTAAAAATTAAGACACTATAATTCAAAAGATTTTCCCTACCCTCTTGGTACTCTGATTTTTGTTCTTACACATTGAAGCATTTACTCACCATTGCAGCTGATGAAAGCCATCACAAACACCACTATCTGCACAACTTCTCCCATTCTCCCAGAACTGCAGGTCCGTCCTCCTTTCCCTGCACTTTGTGAGAGACCCCCACACTCCTGGGACCAGAATGCAAGTGAAGAACACTTCCCTTTCTTCTGTCCTTTGTCATCTAGGATCCTCTTTCTGAAATATCACGAGTCCATTTCACTGCTGACTTAGGTGAAGGGTAAAGGATGGACAAAGACTGTAAGGATCTTTCCAGTTCCATTTCATGTTCCCCTGTCCCCACCCACTTCTTTTACCATTCTCTTGACTTTTCTGACTAGTGCTTTTTTAAATTATTCTTTATATTTGTGTCTTTCTTTCTTTCTTTCTCTTTCTTTCTTTCTCTCTTTCTTTCTTTCTTTCTTTCTTTCTTTCTTTCTTTCTTTCTTTCTTTCTTTCTTTCTTTCTTTCTTTCTTTCTTTTCTTTCTTTCTTTTCTTTCTTTCTTTTTCTTTCTTTTCTTTCTTTCTTTCTTTCTTTCTTTCTTTCTTTCTTTCTTTCTCTCTCTCTTTCTTTCTTTCTCTCTCTCTTTCTTTCTTTCTCTCTCTCTCTCTCTCTCTCTTTTCTTTCTTTCTTTCTTTCTTTTCTGTCTTCTCTCTCTCTCTCTCTCTCTCTCTCTCTCTCTCTCTCACACACACATTTGCATTCACTTCACAGTGAAAGAGCTTTATGATGACTACACAGTCAAGCACTCGGTAGCAAGGGAAAGCAAAATTGAGGACGCTTGTGAAGCGTGAATTCAGTTCCCTCTGACTTGTGTGTGATGATATTGCTCAGCAGAGTGCTCAGCATCTCTCTCCATTGTACCGTGAGGGCTCAAAACTGGGCATCCAGAAATGGAAAAGCACGGTGAGTGCACTGACTCACCTAACACTGTGCAGGAGCATGAGGCAGAGACCAACTTGTTGATGCTCAATTCCATTTCCTTAGTGTCTTCTCCTGCTGATGGTACTCAGGTTTTCCACCACATGCAGGTACCAACTTCTGCAGCAACAGACTCTCTGAGGGCAACCCCATTCACCTTCTGAGTAGGTCAGTCTGTGACCTGAGTGACGAAGACAACCAGCCCTAGTTTCTTTGCCAAACAGGCTGAGCCTTTTAGACCAGAAAACTTAGGATGCCACTTCTACTGCTTTTTTTCTGTTTTAACAGAAAACGTGCAGAGAAGAGGTATTAAAAAAAACAACATCCTGCTTTTTACTATGATAGGAATTTCCCTGCAAAAGCTCCATTTTCTACCACCTGCCCAGAAACTGTGATCTACTGCAGTGCAGCTGCAGCTGCAGTTATACCTACCAGGGCCATGGAGAAGGTGCATGGGGAAACAAAAGGTTAACAAGCTAGAGTCATCCGCAAGCTTTTACCATCCACTGGTGATCAGATGGTCACTGCCTGGTGCTCTCATTTTCACAGCATCACAGACTACCTTGGTACACATTTCTGCTGCAATAGTCCAGTTCATGGGCAAAAGTCATCACGTTTCATGCTCTGCAAGCACATGCAGTGTTTTCTAAGGAGGTGACTTACGACTGGTGGCAGAGGGACTTTAATCCAGGAGACATTCTGGGTGTGTTCTGTAGGGGTACCTTTAAAAGTACATCCAAAAGTTATCAATAGGTGTTATGCACAGGATTAATATGTGCCTGCTAATTATTACCAAAAGGAGAAGGAATTACAGAAGATAAGAAACATGTATAAAAGCAAAGCTACTGACCTAGTGAATTCTGTTATAGGCTTTTAATCATTCACTAAAACAACTTTTTGGCATTTATTCAATAGACATGGCTTAGCATATAGTTTTAACAACTGTACCAGGAGAATAGTACCTCTGAGCAGGAGGCAGACGTGTCTGAAACACAGGGACCCATTTTCTGTTGGAACTGGGAGGGAAAGGTAATTGGTGTAGTTTTGCCACAGCTACGTCCCATCACGACAGATGCCTGTTTGCTTTAACTGAAGTGTTTACATTGCAGCTAAGCTCAGACTGTTCTCTGGAATTGCTGCCATTTGTCAATGATGGCTTGTTCCCTCTCTGCAGAGGGCAATGAAAACTGGAGACTATCTTCATTTTCCCAAAGTCAGTAAACTGATGAGAACTGTGCAGGTCTCATTTCAGTCTTCGGGAGGAGGCATGTCCACAGTTGGATGGCTTGCTGAATGTGATTTCAGCTGTGCTCTGCTTATTGCTGCAGTAAAACTTGCCAGTGGCAAGCATGGGAAGCCTGGAGCAAAAAGCTGAATGTGGTGTGGCAAGACCTGGTGCAACAAATTCATACAAGGTTCCAGACTAAAAGCTACCACCAGCTGTCATCCTGCTGAGGAAGACAATGGAGGCAGCAGCACCACCCGTTCTTGCAGAGCATATCCTTGCTGGTGCCGTGGAAACTTGATTTTTGCTGCCTTTTCTTCTTGACTTCTTTGCTGAAGCTACCAGTGTGGTACCAGTTCATACTGCCTGTACCCCATCTGCCCACTCTGCCACCAAGAAGCCATTAGCTATGCTTTGAGTCCTGCCTGAAAGCCATCAAACAAACAAACAAACAAGCACTTGTTAAAATTCAAGTGATGTCACTGAAAGAGTGAATATGAGTCCATTTTCAGAGAGATAATTTAAAACCCAACCTTTTGCACACCCTGGCCCATGACTGGCGACAGAAGCTTGTCCCAACAAACTATCTCCTATGCAAAAGACTTTAAAAGAAGCTGGATTTTGGGGAACATGCCCTGGAACAAGCTGAAAACCCAAGCTAAAACTGCTGATATGACTACTTTCTGAACCGGACATGCAAGACTTCCTGAAGCTGTAATTATACGGGATAAAAAAAGACTATTTAGCTAAAAGAAACACGAAGAACTGTAGTTCCTCAAACGTGATGTACATGACATCTTTCTCTCCCTGGGACAGGGATGTAGCTGCTAGTTTTCTCCTCGCTGAGTCACATAGTCAGCCCATTTCTTTCTTACGAGAGGGACTCCTCATACTTTTGCATCTGAACATATGAAGAAAAAGCCTTTAATGTCTCAGACATTATGGCTAGTTACCTGGTTTACTATAATGAAGTATATTTATTTCAGTGTCTCTGCTTTGGATTGAATCCATTGCTTTCTCCTTGCAGTGCCAGGCAGCCTTTCCTCCCACAGGCACCCACCTTCCTTCCACATACTGGACATGACACACTTTCAAGCATCATTTCTTCAAGTATCACAGCTCAGCCAAAGTGACCAGTATGACTCTTTGTTCCGCAATTTCTGCTACCACATCTCAGGCTGATTAGAGGTGGCACAGTAAAGTCCCCGTTTCCCCAAAAAGGAGTGCAGATGGGACCTCAGACCCTACTCATACGGACCAGCTCTGCAGAGCCTGCATCTTACACTCATGTTTTGACATAGTCTGCCAGAGGCTAGAGAAGTTTGCTACATTTTTCCTGTTGATGAAATAAGATTTTTAGCCTGCAAGGGGGTGAAATTCAGTACCAAGCTTTGAGCAAACGACCAAAAAGTAGGTAACTTAAGAAGAAAGGTCTCAAAGTGCTCTTTTTGAACCATCTGTACTCAGAAAAAAAGGCAATTTTTACTGCAAGACTTGAGACATTCTTATTTGGTCCAGCCATAGCCAACTCACAGATCTAACTAAACAGACTGTGGTTTACTAAGTACTTTTTGGATGTCCCACAGAAGCTAATTGTATGAGCCTCTACAGTCATGTACACCACAATTCTCTCACATATACCAATCATAGTACAGACAGTCATGAAAACATGACCTTTGTTCCACCTAAAGAAACAGAAATGTAGCATACATGAGCATCTCCTTCAAGGTCTGTGTGACAGAAACGTGATATACAAGTGCTTTTTCTGAAAATTAACTTCCCTTCCCAGGAATTCCCAGGTCAATGACATCAGTTCTGGGTTACTCATTATCTTGGCCAAATCCTTGTAAATACTTTCTAGCACTAAGAAAGGGATCCATATATATGATGTCATCTGAGTATTCATTTCCTACTTGGTGCCACAGATGGGCTTCACAAATTCAGCTATTAGAGCAGTAGAGATTTTACCTTTACCTGCAGTTATCACACGCACTAGCTACTGGTACTTTTGGTAGCCTCACTGCTATCATAATTCTTGCTCTTTGCAAGCTTCCCGGTTCCTCCTTTAGTGGCTCCAGGAAGGCTGGCTGATCTCTAGTTTTGGTAAACACAAGTGCTGGTCTAGGAAGATCTGCCTTAACCTCAGCTTGTCTTCCTGGCATGCTGCTGTATGCCATCGATGTGGTGCACAGGATGCACAGCAACTGCCCTTTTTCCCAGAGATATCCCACACTGAATTAAGATCCAATCCCTGTCTTGCATTGTCCAGCTGTGCAACAGCACGTGCAGACACAAAACACACAGAGAACCTAGTTCATGGATTTCTTTTCAGTTTCATGAGCTTGCCTTTTACTGCTTGCCTTAAAATGGTTTTATTTAACATCACCAGCTCCTGGTCATGGTTGTCCAGCCAGTATAAAACTGCTATTTATCCATGTTTGTACGGCTACATTGCCTGAAGCTTTGCAATGCAACCAGAATTGGATTGGGTTTTGATTTTGTGGCACAGCCGTGGGATACCTGACAGCTGTCATCCATAGAGCGTCAACAGTGAGAGCGCCTGATATGCTCAGACTGCATTGTGACCAGCCTGCCCTTCTTTGGAAAGCTCTTTGCCTCCATATCTCTACCTTGCCTTAGTGCTTTCTTCTTCTCGGGCTGGAGCTCTGGCCACATCACACCACCTCAGACGAACAGCACTGCAAGTCATCTTGGGCAGTCAGAGCCAAGTCCCCGTTTGGGTAGCCGTGGCAGTCATGTTGAGGTACTATGAGTGTATCGAGCATTACCACGCTCCCACCTGAGAAAACACGTCTTACAAACCCAGTGCGCTTACTGGGTGTCTCTGTCTGACTGATGACACTTCAACTTCCCCAGAACCTTTAGAGGTGTTTCATCATCTAGTGTGAAATCCACAATTTCTCTCTGAAAACAAGGATGAAAGGAGAAGGGAAAGCAAGCTAACTCCCAAGAGAGCTTATAGCAGGGGTGACATTGCTTACAATAGCTACCTCAGCCTAGCACAGCACAGAGGGTCTTCCCCAGCTAGGTCACGACCAGCAGTGATGGAAATACAGGCAGGGAGGGAAGAGCTCACAGTGCTGGCTGCATTGCCGTTCTTTTGTTCATACAGAGCTCAGGTCTCTCCCGAAGAGCCAAGTCTACTGATCTGGATGGCTGTACCCAACAGACCACTTACAGAAAGGACAAGCTCTTTCCTCCTCATTCTCCAAGCAGCACATGTCATGTCCACCTCTTTGCTCAGGTGTTCACCCTGTCGCTTGACTTTGGAGTACCTCTGCTTTCCGGTTGCTCCATATAGCACCGAAGCCCCATATTGCCATTGCAATAAGTTTGTTTCTGGGATGGAGCTCAGATGGGTGGGCTGCTTTCCAGTAACAGTGACAGTCCCTTCCCACCCCCTCCCTACCAAACACACGCACGCACACACACACGCACTTTTTTTAAAAAACCCTTTTTAAAGAATGAGAACATTACTGCAGGGCTCCAAAACCTGCAACCTCATCTAGAATTGAAAGATTAAGAAAACGTGACAGTTTCCCAGAAGATTTCAACACTGTTGATTTGTCATCACATTAACACACTATCCAGTCATGTTTTTTCTGTTGTTCTCTGGAAAACCCTTTTAGTGACAATTGTGTGCCTTGCAATACTATTGCAACGGTTTTCCTCCCTTACTAACCTTCCTGCTTAGGAAGAAAGACTGTCAGACTTCATTAACTTTTTACACTCTTCATAATAGAACTCATTTTCTTTCACATCCTAAACGTCTCATTTCATTAGCTCTGAACCTCAAACTGGACTAGCAGCAACTTTTGCATCTTCTGTTCCCTGAACTGTGACTGACTACAGCCTGACACAACATCCAGAACATATCCAGCAGATTCACAATAATGCCTCTGCTTTCAAGCAGAGGGACCTAATACACCCCTAGGAGTGTAATTCCTGGGCACACACAGACATTCATGCACACCCACTTTCATAGTCAAAATAGAGAGAAGTATAACAAAATCTACTAACTTTGCAGTCCTGAAGTTTAATGATTTTCATTTGCTTCTCCACATTTGCAATAAGCTGCATGTACATGTTGACACTTTTTTCCAAGACATCATCACCAACCAAAGCTGCTGTTTGTTCCCTTTCCATTTTGAAATCAAAATTTCCCAGCCCTTGATTTTTAAGTACATTCTTAACAAAGAGAAATAAAACTTGTGGTACAGGAAATTCATGGAGAAAGCATAAGGTCACTGATAAGTACCTGTAAAGTGTGCCTGGTAGTCTGTGAATTTTGATGAACTTTTATGTCATTCATTCCTCTAATTTCTCACTGGGCCTCTGTGTACTTTGGGTTTTCATAGCACTGAATGAGTAGCATTGTGTTTCACACTTATTTCTGTAAGTACTTTTATTGCATAAAAGAAGTACTTTTCCTCTCCCTTTAAAAGGGCTACCAGATAATTTTAGCTAATGTCTGCTTCCTTTTCTCTTCGGAGAAATTGTAAACAAATAGTCCCTATTCATCTTCTCCACTTTTGCCTCATTCTTCTCTTTTTTCTAAGATGAGAAAGTATAATGCATTTGCACAAAAGTGGTTTCATGCCACTAATCATCCTTTATTATCATTCTCAGTAACTTTTCTAGCTCTGTTAAACCCTTTCAAGATGAGACCTACATGCATACATAAGGTGGAAGCATTCCATGGGTTTTTACAGTATCACAATCCTGTTTTCTATTGCATTGTAATGCCTTTCCTAATAGCACCTAATACTCTCTTTGGATGTTGGTGAATTTTGAGCTGATGCTTGCAGAGAACTGCAGATGCAGATCTTTCCTGAGTGTGAACAGCAAATCTGGGGCCCCACTAGTGCTGTATTTGTGTCACTGATATCCCCCTCACGCCTCAGATTGCTCATTTTGTTTTACATCTGTCCACATGGCTTTTAATCAGACAGGGTATCGCCCTATCATTCATTATAAAAAGGTTCTTCCATAACTCTGCAGTATCCCTGTTATAGATTTACTCAGAGCAGTAGAAATTATGAATAACAAAGCTTTTCAGCTCCCTACGTACCCTTCAGGCCTTCTAAGCCAGGAGGAAAGTACTTCATGAGTATCTACCAGGGAGCTGTAATTGTGAGTGCTTGCTGGCATTTTAAAGTTGAGCCGGTCATGCAAAAATATTCATATCAAAACAACTTAGGCACATGTAAACAATCCTATCCACAAACTTATGGAAAAGTATCTAATTTCTTTCAAATATTAAACGTGCATTAAAAGAAAGAATAGAGGTGGTGAACTCAGAAAGAATGTGCCTTGTTGCAGTATCAGAATCGCCCAAGCTGTCCAGCACCAAAACTATAGAAAGTGTGTCTGCATCTTATTGTGAATGCTGCAGAAAGGCATATTGAGTACAGCACGATGGGTGCACAGGACATTTCTTCTTTTCGTACTGCTGCTCCTAGTATGGTAAGGTTCTTGGTTTTATCCTGGCTTTAATCTGTCTTTCAGTGTTTCTTTAAGGTCTATCTCACATTTAAAAGGACATTCTACCACCTATGCAGCACTTCAGGCGGATGGGAGGAGAAACACTGATTCCCAGGCCAGACTCATTCTGTGCTTCTTACCCAAAGATGATGGGCATGTTGAGCAGTCCTTGGTGCTGGTTCTGCTCCCATCACACGAAGGCCGTGAACGCAAATCCTTCTGGTCATATAAAGCAGTAAATTTAGTACAATGCTCTTGGCCTGGGGTCTGCATATCCTAGCTTTCAAAGGGCTTTCCTCTACAGAGGTGGTGAAAGGGAACCAAGAAAAGCAAAATCAGAAGATCTATACAGCAGTCTGTAACTGAAGTTCCTAAATAGGTTTGCATATTCAGTGCAGAGATTGTTAAGGCTCCACAAATCATGTAAGACAAGCAAAAACTGCTTGTCCAACCTATTTTTCAGAGGCAAAGGTGACTAGGAAGATAAGTTTTGCCTGGATGAAGGTACTCTTCAGGACTGCTACCTGTAGATCATTTTTGGTTCTCATATAGTGTCTCCTACTTCATATACAGATTCCTGGGTGTTTCCAACACAGTCATATTCATCCTTTTTCGTATTTATTTCTTCAGAGCTTTTGTCTTTCATGGCCTCCATCACATAGTTGTTTTCAGTGGAGGAGATGGGTTCCTCATAATAATCCGTACTTTTACACCCTGAAGAAGCTGCTGCTCTCGAGTTATGGCTGAAATCAAAATACAGCATGAAAGAAGAGTTGCAACCAGAGTAGACAAAGCATCTCCCAACCATCACGATTTTGAGCAAGATTGTGGTCCGATTCAAACCCATGTAAACCTGGGCCATTGGATTATGACAGTATTCTGAAGGAGGGAATCTTGTCCTTTGCTTCCAGGTGTCAGGAGAACCTTGGACATTATAGCAGCATTGCCTCCAATCCAGGGAGAGTTTCAGAGGCAGCAAAAGGTATATAAGCAACACAAGGATTACCACCATTTCTTGGAATGGCACAACCAGGCAACTGCTCTTTGCAAGATAAATATATATATATATAAAAAAAGTAGTGGAAGAATGGTAAATGGTGAACTGAATGCAGCCCACATCCACCATGTGGCTTATGATATCTAATATCTTTAAAATGAAGGTAAATCCTCTGAGGAGAAATGCCATCACACCATTTGTTCAGTTGCTTAGGGTTCAACTGTTACTTAAAACACTGCTTTATAAGCTGCTTGGGAAGCACAGCACCTGGGCAACCATTGCTGGCATGTTCTACAAGGGCACTCAAGTCATCAGCACTTTAATCTATATCTAGATAAGTGGTTCTCCTTGTATGTTTTGACTGGATTATTAGGCTTTTCAGTATAGCTTCCATAGATTGCAAGTAGATCAGGATGCTGAAACCTAAGTTTAGAAATAGCTGTAACTTCTTCCCACAGCTATGATTAAAAGAGGCAAGTTCAGCCAAGGAAATTCCAGGGATGAATCAGAGTATAATCTGTACATCAGGAGCCTTAGCTCTCTAGAAGGGGAATTCCTGTTCTTTGTATTTGAAAAAACACTGGGAATTTATCCTTAGCAATGATCTTCAATAGGCCTCATTGGGCTGAGGAGTTAATAAACAGCTCTTGCACATTCTTATGATTCTAATATTGCAAAGGAAAATATTTTTCTTCCTACATTATGTGTTCATGTGGAAAGCCCACAGATCATCAGTACGATGTACTACTGAGCTAACTTTAAACCTCTTCATCCATACTGCTTAAGAGGCTTTATTCCTGACAGCTAAATAGCACTGTTTTGTTTTTTTTTTTTTCCTGCTCTAATACAGTCCCCAAAGACTCATCAATATGTTAGATAAAGGGTTATACTCACAATTTTACTTCATAGACTTGAGCTGGAAAAGAATAATGAGAAATGTGTGTCAATAATTTGCATTTATATTCTCAAAAAAAATATTCTTCTATGTCTTTTCTTGATATAAGAAAGAGACCTCTGAAGACAGAATGAAAAAATAGGAACCTCAGAGATCATGTTAGGTGGGTGATGACTCCTATTCCCAGGATTTAGTCCAAGAAAATTAAAACAACCCATATCCCAGCTACAGCAGAACTGGGTCAAAATAACTAGCCCAAGGTCAAAGGTAAAGTTGAGTTTAGAAACTAGAAGTTCCCAGTTCCCACAGTTTTGCTATTCGTTAGAAGTTCAATAAAGACCAATTTAGAAAGAGGTTATTCTGGATTCCTTTAAAAAAAAAAAAGAAAAAAGGCAAAAGGAGTATTTGATAATAATTATTATTAATTGGTAGCATGGAGTTGTAGAAAGGTAACTAAAAACACAAAGGGACAAGGAGAAAACCATGGCCATCAGTATCAAAAAACCCCAAACCAAAACCCCAGTGTGTTCTCTGTACACTGCTGAGTGCTACTAGTGAGAAAGGGGACTCCAAGACAGCATTTGGTCGGAGTTTTCTAGTATTAGTGCAGAAAAGATAGAAGCATTCAGTAAATATATCCTATGTGTGAAGGCTAGAAAGGGAACGAATTCGTATTGAATAGGGAGAATTAACGATGACCTCTTTTCCTCCAGGTACTAAGGGAAATATTAAACAGCAGCTGGTGCAAACAGGTATTTTAAAGTGGCAGGACAAGATTAACTTGCTGCCAGAAACCTTAAAAGATCTGATCGACAAACGCGGTCGAGGATGTAAGCTTGAGAGCCAGGGGACGGCCCTGCGGGCCAGAGGGAACCAACCGTCCCTAAGTAACCGGGCCAGAGCGGAGGGCAGCGCCGCGCAGAAGCCGAGCACGGCGGGACGGCCCGGGGTGGGGCAGAGACCGCATCCCCCCC